TACATATTTTTAGGGGTTTGGTATAGGTGGTGGTGAAGAAATCAGTCAAATCAATTTTACATTGTACTTGCTAAAGTAAATACAGACTCTGCTCCCTATAAGTATTATTCCTCTATTTTACATTTCCCTTTAACTAGTTTCCACCTTTCTATTAATATATACTATTTCTGCCCTAAGTACAGTTGATGATAGGATAACTCTACCTCTTAGCACAGTATGTTCTTCAAGTATGAAAGGATTTAAGTCAAGCAAATGCACAGGCCCTGGTCATATATGAGCTTCCCTGGACATGGAACTGGAAAAGGACCTAGCAAATCAGGACAAGCTGGTTGAAATAAGTGTGTGTATGTTCTTATATATGTGTGTATGAGATAGCACAGAGCCTGCAAAATTCACATTACTAAAAAGAGTAATTTTAGAGTTTAAAATTCTGGACCATTATGTTCATTTGAAACTTGATAAAACTTAAGGTAGTTAAATAACCTATTACAGCAACTGGAAAAACGTGTGGAAGTCTAAGAGAAGCAAGATCATTTGTAGGCTCTTATTTATATGTGTTTTTCTTTCTAACAGCTGCCAATTTTCCAAGTCAGGAAATATTTGTACATGTTCTAGACATCTTTCTGAAAGTACGAGGCTCTCTTGAAACCATCTTTATACTTGGCCATGCCAGCAATACTATAGCAAACTACAGCACCTCAAGAAATATACTCTTTCAAGTTCCCTAAATGAGTCATTCAGCTGAGTGTAATAAAATAGTCATACTAATATTTCTATCCTTTGGAAATATTTGTCTTTGCTGCTCAGTACCACCTTTTTAAATACTCAAAATTGAAAATCACTGAGGTGGTATAATTTTGAAAACCTAACCAATGCATTAGCCTAACAGGCTGTCATAGTCAATCCCTTTCATCAAGGTACATCTGCACAGAGCCCTTGTTAAAATCTGTCATTTGGACATAGGTCACTTTTGCACATATTGTTTTAGTTCCAGTAGAAATTGTGCCATACACACTTCTGTAAAATATATACTACCCTGGCCCCAAAAGAGATTGTAAAGGTGATTCAGATAAGTTTTATGCATATCCCTAATTTTGTCATAATATATATTTGTAGAATGGGAATGTTGTGAATAAACAGAGAATGTGAGTGTGGGCAACATATCAAAAAATCTTTATTGAAATTTTGGCCTGGCATTTATCCCCAATGTCCGTGTGTCTGATATGTTCACTGAACTTTACTATGTAGTCTGAGTGTATTCAAAATAAAAAGATCTGGGTCCCACCTCTTGAAAAACTTTACAAAGTAGTTTTAAAGACAAACGAATCTTTAGTTATCTACTTTAAGGCTTATAGCTGGTTTTCTATTATCATTGGAACACTTTTCCAACACGATTAAAAAAACTCAGCTGATCGCAAAACTCTTGCAAAGGTTGACCACCAAGAAAACTTCAAGCTTAAAGTTCTGTTGAAACCTGCATCCTCACCTAATGAGAACAGTATACTGATCACTTGGTATTCCTCTCTTCATTTTAGAATCAAATCCTTATTGTAAACACCCATCTGCTTAACTATCTTCCTCTGCCACCCTCTACCCTCCAAATTTATAGCCATTTAGCTCCTACATGCAATTTATTCAAGCTCAGTCTCTTGTAGATATTCTGCTTAGGCCCGAGAAAAAAAGAGTGCCCTAGGTTTCACACATTCTACTTTCCACCATGCTCCTAGAAATGCATCTATTAGAACGCACACAAGTTTTACAAAGTTATTATTTTTTCATATACTTGTCAATCAGATAGCAATCACCCAAAAGGAAGGCACTAACTTTCAATGATCCACTAGTGTCTACCTCCCCCCTGGGCTCCCAATGTAAGCAATGATTGAGGAAAAAATATCCTTGACCCTGGATATGGGTCTTTGGCCACTACAAAAGAGTGAAGGGGTGAGAGCCAGTACTTCTATACTTTTCCAGGACTTCCAGGAGTCTAAGAAAGAATATAATCATGAGCTTCAAGTCTCCTGTAAAATGTATCTGCTTGTCCCCATACACTTCTGAAATTCTATTCAGTTTCAGAAAAGGACCTGCAGACTAGGCTTAGTGACCATCATGAAGCAAACCAATATGCTGGAGGGATATATTATTAATGATCTGCATGACTGATCTCAGTTCATCACCTTTTTTTGAAGATGGACACTTTTGCCTTGGGATGACACATTTCACAACTGGATAATGTAGTTGATCAGAGTCTGAAACTGGGTTGGACATGCTAAGATGAGTAGAGTATAGTAGGATTAAGAGAACACATCTAAGGCCTAGGTAAATTTGATTTGACTCGTGACTTCATAATTTACTACTTTTGTTAATTTGTTTCAAAACTTAAGCTCTTTATTTCTCAGTTTCCATATTTAATAGAAAGATGATAGCAATAGTACCTACCTCATAATTCTATTATAAGATGGCAATATTAAATCTAAATAAAGCACTATGCACAATGCACAATGTGAAAACTCAGTAAAAGTTTCCACTTTTAGGAACTCGAGGTCTCAATCTCTAAAAATGACCTAATTACTTTAATGAGTACACATTTGGAATAGAGAATAGTGAACATTTTGGCATATTGGTACCTTCATATAATGTATCTTGGTCATTTTCAATGCCTTTACACCTTCTCCCTATCCTTCTCTCTCCCGCAGAAGTAAAGTGACTAATATTTAATTATTCATCTTTTATCTCACCCAGTGTGCATACAAATAATTTTATTTAATTTTAATGTTTTTTTCCTCAGAGTCAAACAAAGTTGACCTTCTCTGAGAACTCTTAGACTTGTCCTTTTTGAACATGGTGCTGTTTTTGTTTTTGTTTTTGCTCTTCATAGTTAATGATTTATACAAAATGTTACTGGCAGTGCTTAGAATATAATCAATCTTCTTTTCCCCCAGGGAACTCTGAATAGTCTAACTTTCTTTTCCCCTCCATAAAGAGACTCTGCCTTGAGCTGGCGAGGTGGCGCACACCTACAATCCTAGCATTTGGGAGGCTGGGACAGGAGGATCACCATGAGTTTGAGGCTATTGTGGGCTATCTCGTGAGTTCAAGGCCAGTCTGAACTGCGTAGGGAGACCCTGTCTCAAAAGAATAAATGAATAAGGAAATACAAAATAGAAAAGTAAAAGAGACTCTGACTAAAATGGCAGACTTTAAAAAGATTTCTTATTCTTCGTTTTTTGTTTGTTTGGTTGGTTTTGTTTTGTTTGTTTGTTTGTTTTGGTACCATTGATCTCAGGTCCTTGCGCTTGCAAGGCAGGCCACAGAACCGCTGAGCTTCCTAGTTTTTTTTTTTTTTTAAGATTTCTTATTTTTCTAGCACAGATTATATATAAACTACAACCATATCATGATTTATCCCACTGCAATGACATAATTCTTATATTATTTTGCCTCTATAATTATTCTGTTGCAAGAAGAATGTACTGTAACCTATATCCAGGTCAACAGGAAAATATAAGACTGCAAAATAAAGAACTACTTAAAGAAAAACAAAAAAACAAAACAAAACAAAAAAAACCAAGCCTCAGGGCTGGGGATTTAGCTCAGCGGTTCGGTGCCCTGCCTTGTAAGTGCAAGGACCTGAGTTCAATCCCCGGTATCCTCCCCCAAAATAAATAAATAAAGAACTGATTATATATTTTGACATTCTTTGATATTTTAATTTTATTTGCTGATAGGCTTTTTTGTAAAAGCCTGTTTTCATAGTAGCTGCAACAACATAAAATCCTAAGAACTTACCTTTACTTTAACATTCTCAGAGACTTATAATCATATGTTACTTTCTAAATTTTGGCACCATCCGCAATATAACCTCAGATACAGATACGAAAAAAGTAATAGAATGGTGGAATCCTAAAATCAAGTTACTACTCATTTCAAGAGTGAGGAACTGTCTTAATGTTATTTTTTAATGTTTCTATTTACCAAAATGTGCTGATTGTCTAACTAATCAGTCCTTAGTAGTCAAATACTAGAAGATAAAGGAAAGCAAGAAATTTTGATGTTTCAATCAATTCTAATAAGTTTACTCTGAGAATCTGACCACAGGTTTTTAATATATATGTTATGTATGACCATAATTATATGTTGCATATATATATATATATATATATATATATTTTATATAGTATACATGTTCTATATTTGGTTAGAATAAGAGAGAAACAAAATCTATTTTTCCATATATTATATCAATTGTAAGGGCCGGGATTTAGCTCTGTGGTGCCATGCCGCTGCGTGCCTTGCAAGCACAAGGTCCCGAGTTTGATCCCTGTTACCAAACCAAACCAAACCAAACAAAAAAACACACATCAAGTGCACCTTAATGCTAGTAACACTTTCCCACCCACCCTTACCACACTTCGCAATAGTTTCTAGTTTCTAAAAGCTTTTCTACATGAAGTTTCTTTAGACTGATATAATAAGAGCAACTTTAAATATGTAAGCCAAGTATCAACTAGGCAACTTTTACCCCTCTTTTTTTTTCCTCTCAGTTCAGGGGATTGAACCAGGGCTTTCATATTCAGCTATATCCCCAGCTTTTGTGTGTGCATGTGGGGGGCTTAAATTTGTGAGACTCCTCACTCAGCCTTTCAGAGGGCTGGGATTACAAGTATCGTCACCACACACTGGGCTATATGTCTATTTTTTTCAGCTTTAATTGAGTTTATTGGTACACTTCAGGGATACAGTACAGTTACATTCATTGTTGGGATCTTGTACCTGTACATGACAGGTCTTGGTTCTCATTTTTTCCCCTTACCCCTGCCCTCCCTTCACCCCCTCCTCCCCTCTCCATCTACAAACACTTTATTTCCATCTTTTCATTATCTCGCATTTTTTTCTTTTCCCTTATTACCCTTCCCCTACCCATCCCACCTTCCCTACACCTTTAGCTCCTTTCTTCTCATTTCTAAATGACAGTAATCTTATTAGGATCTTATGCTTTATTGCAGATTATTCAGTGGCAGTATCGTAGCCAATGAGGTTTATCCGAGGCGCGATTATTGCTAATTGAAAACTTTTCCTATATGTCTATTTTTAAGTGACTGTATTATCCTTCCATGGAGAAAATTATATTTAATAAAATTTTTAAAATTAGGATGATTTTATCTGACTGAACAAAGTCACTGAACTTTAAAGAACTTAATTGTTTTGACTGTTGTTTAGAAATATATATTTGTCTCCAAACATTTAAATGTCTTTTCTGCAGTTCTTTATAATATGAGCCAATTCAGTATCTGCAGAAATGAAATAATGATCTTGTGTTACATATATAGAATTTAAATTGTTCCCATCTATAACTGTGAATTTATTATACAGATTACAGCTGTGACATGTAATTTATGGCCCCGTGGGAGCAGAAATCCGATATATGACTTTTACTTTTATCTTTCATTCCCATATTTTCTTTTTCTTTTTTTTATAGGGTCTTGTTATGTAGCCCAGGCTGGCCTTCAGCTCACAGAAATCCACCGGCCTCAGCCTCCTGAGTGCTAGGATTACAAGTGTGTGTCACTGCCATGCTAATTGCTTCTTTCTATTTCAAAATTGATTGAAGCATAGGAGTAAATTTTGGTGCAACAGAAAAAAAAAAAGGCAAGCCAGAAAGACTTGGGTTACATTCCACAGTTGGAGAAAAGTCATGGCCAAGACTGAATATTCCACTTTCTCCGAGGCCTTTAAGCCTCAGCACTTTCCACTGATTTCGTCCCGAGTCCCTTGATTTAGTCTATGTTGCTCCTTTTCATTCCCATTGCAAATATTAAACCTCGTTCTCTTACTGAAAACAAAACAAAACAAACAAACTTGTTTTTCAGCCTCACATGTTAGAAGCCTAATTAGAATTTCTACTCCAAGAAAAAAAAAAAAAACTACTTTCACATATCCTCCTTTCTTTTGCCCAGTCTTACTCAGCTTTCCTGTTTCTCCCTGTAACTCATCACTACTTCCTAAAATTAGAGGTCACAATCATGGAAAATACCTTCTTCCTTATCTCTATTAAAACTAAAATCAATAAAATTATTCCCCATGGTACTTATGATTCTAATACCTAGTACCTAATGCAATGCTTGAGACAGAGTATAATTCAATAAATAGATCTTAAAAATTGTTATCAGAATGTTAGCAACATTCAAAGCAGTGTTTTTATTTAATGAATAAATCTAAAACTTCTTTAAACTAAAGCAGTCTGAGGTTACTTAAGAAAGAGAAATCTTTACTTTTGAGACACATTATTACGAAGGAGCAATGTCATAGAAGGAAGGTGGAACCAAGAAAAGGCTCTGGACTTCTGGTGTTGCACTCTGAAGACGCTACAACCCAGTATGTCTATGGCCACTTTTAAACTTTAGCTTAAGCCCTGCTTCAGAGACTTTCAATGTATAGTGAAATGCACAATGTTATGTGCTTTATGGGTGCTTAAGCAATATTTGTTGGCTGGCTTAATTGAGCTATATTTGCAAAAATGGCAAGGATACGAGGAAACTTTCCTACCTAAAAAGAAAGCATTCACAGTGTTAGACATTTGGTAGGCAAATAAACAGTATAATTTCAGCCTAAAAGGAAAAATACTCAAACCTTCATCCAATAGGCCTAGTGGTTAGGCAACCCAAATGTCAGCACCGTGTTTCTGAAACTTAATTTAAAATATCATAAATTGTATGTCACCAACTTTCAGGACAAAATTTCTTTTCTTCATTTATGTTCCCAGTCCCTGATCCAACTTCAAATTCAGAAAACGCAAGCAATAAATCTAAATCTCACCTGTCTTTTGAGGTTTGCAAGTGAAAGTAATGTGTCAAACAATAATTTCAAAAATCATATTCAATAGTGATGCATTGGACAGTGTAATGAAAAGAAATTGCCATATTCAACAGTGCACTTACAGAGTGCAAACAATTCAGGAATTTGCTCTTGACTATAATGCCACACCTTCATATATTGTATCTAAATGTGAGACATGTAGGAAAATGAATACATTCAGAAAATACAATGTTAAGTGAAATAAATCAGATACAAGTAAATACCACATTGAGTCATTTCAGTAAGGCAAAATACAAATAAAGAGCAAAATAAAGGGTGGATAGAAACAAACAAGGAGATAGATCTTTTGCAAGCAGAAAGGGGTCCAGGAGAATGAGGGTGAGGAGATTTGAGATGTGTCACCTGTGCCAAATATCTGCAGTGAGTGTAAATATTATACATCATAAACATGAACTGAAAATTATAATAAGAAGAAAGAAAGGGGATTTACAGTAGGAGAGAGGGAGATGGATGGGAAGGGGGAGGGGATTAAAAAAATCAAGCTCTGTTATATACATGAACTTACTCCTTAAGATGAATGTAAACTTCATGTACTTCAAACATGTACTAATAAAATAAAATTTAAAAAACAAAAGGGCAAAGTGCTTCTCTAATGTCTCACTGATAGATGTGAACTTATGCCCAAAATACATCTGTAAATTTTAGAAAAATAATAAATTTGAGATAGTTCCTTCCTTCCGTCAATATTTAATTGCACTGTAAGTGGGAATCAGGCATATGTGGTGGTTAGGCTCTACAACGATCATTAGATATGTAGTATATTTCAGGAGATTTTCTTTTATTGATGTGATTCCCCTGAAATGTTTTCTTAATTCTTTTTCTAACCTCACTTCTTGCAAATGGCAAGTTGGGAAAAATGATTGATGTTAGCAGTGTAGTCAAAACCTCATGAAGTTCAAAGTGAACTCTTTCATTCTAAAACTCCAGTTTATTGCTTTACCTCACTAGTGTTACGTTAACAAAATGGTGTTAGATCATACTGTACAGTGAAGCAACCCTACCTTCCCAATATACCTGCTACACAGCTTTACCTTTACAGCTGATGTCATAGTGTTTTACTAAGCTAAATAATGAGATTTGCTATCAAGTGGAGAACTAGAGAGAAAAACAGAAAATCATTTTATTTGGTGAAATGTGTAGCTACTCCAACTAATAGCCAATAATCAAGTTCTACTTTGTAAGGTGGTGATGAAACTTTAGAATCATTATTTTTATTAGGCTGATGACAGAGTAAGAAATGCCTACATTTTACTGAGTTTCAGGTGTGAAGTACTTTTTCTTCAATCCAGCATAAACTCTGGAAATTATCTAGTCTAGTACATTTATAATATAGTTGAGGAAATTGTCCAAGAAAAGTGAAGTGAAATGTTTAGTGTCAGTTAGTGGGAATGTCATGTTACCAGCTCTTACCGTGCCACTTTAAAGAGTTAGTCTCCTTCTTAATATTTCACAAAATAACTGTGGTCTCTCTGTATCCATTGCTCTTCAGTAAATTTGTTTTTTCATTTTACCATTTCAAAAATGAGTCCTCCTAATTTATTTTGCAAATGTTTCCTCACATGGCAAATTACTAAACATTCCTCCAATTTAATTATGAGCCATAAATTGTGAGACTAGTAGTTAAAGGTGATGAGAAAACTACTCTAAGCCTACCAGGAAAGTAAAGGGAAGAGAATAGTTCTTTCTCCTAAAAAGAGAGAAAACAAAACCCATGATTTTCAGTGATGTTTGTCTTGCTAGGAGCTGAGAGAGAATAGTAGGTTAGGTGTCCAATTAGAACTAAAAGAAGAAAGGGAAGGGGGTTACAATGTGGAGGTTGAGACTCAGTCTTCACTTCAATGTGCACAGATCTCAGCTGAGAGGTGGAAACTCGCCAGAGAACAAAGCCTTAGAATCAGGCTGGAAGACATTGAAGAGAATTTAACTAACACAAATGCCAGCAGGGGATGTGGTTAGCAGCACTGGAAAAGCAAAGGAATCTGACATTAAGTTTGAAAGGTATCATGCTTTCATTTTGTTGTACAGATCATTTATACAGTATGTTGTATTATTTATACAATATGATTATTATA